CAAAGGGTGGAGGCAAGGAAGAAGATGGCCTTCAGAGATTTTGCCATTACACCTGTTTTCTCTATTTTGGTTCTAGAAACGGAGATTCGATGTCCAGAAATAACTGTATGGAAGCAAGAGAAGTTACTTTTATAAGGGATGGGAAATTAAGGCTAAAGGCTACTAGTCAGTTACAGTTATTTTCATGAGGATGCCATTTCTCCCTTGTTTGTAGAACAAATATTTAGAGCCCTTCATCTCTCCCTTACTCTCTGACAATTCTCTTATACACTTATTATTATCATGAAGTTAGCTCGATTGACGTTGTGCCTTCATAGGAGTATCCAGCCCAGCACAGCCTAATCCTTACAATTTACAATTATTACAGCTTAAAGCCCATTTTCGATGCCACCAGCTGCTAAATTCACTGGCCTTGAATATACTACTAGGCCCACAAAGCAGTATAGGCTTCGCCCTTTGGAAGAAATACTTGTTTTTGTGGGAATTGAAGTGGTTTGGCAAAGGATCCCTATTTTTCAACAGTTTCAGACAGAAAATAAAAACGAACAGAAAAAGAAAATCATGCCCACCATGTGAGGTAAATCTCAAACTTTTTCAACTGACCGATCCAAATGGATTTGGATTTTCAATGAACAAAGGTGCAAATAAAGCAGAAAGAGCATCCTGAAAAACATTTCTAATTTGACCAGAAAATGCAAAATGTAATTGACGCTCCACAGTCCAAACATCAAACAATTGTTACTAATACACCACGGACGCTATTAAGAAAATGAAAACACCAAACAATTGTTACTAATACACCACGGATGCTACTAAGAAGATGAAAACAGTTGAATCTCTCTTGAAAAATGGGTAACTCCTAGATTTACTGAGGTAATACTGGCTTAGATGATACAGGCCCCAAGCCACTGTAACAGCCACAAAACATAAACAAATAAATATAGATAAAAATATAAACAATTGCAAGCTACAAATTTCCTTTTTCTTTTTTTTTTTAATCTTTTTTAATGATGGAACTGTTCCTTGTAATAATAACTAACCTTAAACAACTTTATTCCTCTCCGTCTCCTGTTTTAGCAGCACCAAACTTCGCAGCTTCTTCTGTAATGAAACAAATTAATGACACTGTTAAGTACTAATTCCAAGAGAAAAAAAAAGAAACTAGGAGAAAGCCAGATCTGAGACATATCAATAACAAGAGCTCACTCACTGACTATCTTGAAACCTGATATCAACTATAGTTTGTGGCATTTCATGAATTGCTAGAAAAATTAACAACAACTAAATCCTTAAAAACTTATATGACTAGTTCTAGCTTAACCAACGTGAACTGCCTTTTCTCCAACATCAATTGCATTTGTATAACTGAACCAAACCAAAGTCATGTTCTAATTTGATTGTCACACAATATTTTTCACCTTGGATGCTTGATGTAAAACCATGACATACAAATTTCACTCCCCATTCCAAAAACTCTCCATTAACTAACACATTTGAACCTATTTATAGCAAAACTAACAAAAGAAAAAAAAAACCCATGAATCTAACAACCAGCCTTTAAATATTGATAAAAAAAACAATATTATATAATATTTTATGAGGCCTATCAAGCACTAATCAATACAGTTGGACCACAACCGCCAATGTATTGTAAAAATTGTCCGCTATATTACACACAGAAAGGTGAAATGTTACAAAGGTATCAGTGTTAATGAAAAGGTTTTAAATTACAGAAATACAATACTTCTCACATAACTATTTGCAAACTCAAAATCACATTAAGAGGCAAAATCGAGTTAAACCATTCTTGTGCAAAATCTAAAATTTACCTCCGTCCTCTGGGATGTCAGAAGTCCATAAAGAAAGGTTGTCCCTCAAGAGCTGCATAATCAATGTGCTATCTTTATAAGACTCCTCGTTCAAGGTATCCAAATCTGAGATAGCTTCATCAAAAGCTTGCTTAGCAAGGTGACAGGCCCTAGTATACAAATTTAAAATGTAACATGGATTTTAAAAAGTATACAGAAATAGCTCAACTAGAAAGTTAATACATAGGAAATAGCAAACATACCTTTCAGGAGAGTTCATAATTTCATAATAAAAGACAGAGAAGTTCAAGGCCAAACCCAACCGGATCGGATGTGTCGGAGGCAATTCAGCTTCTGCTGTAGTAGTTGCGGACTGCAAGCAAATAAGACTCATCAACTTTGGCATGATTTTGAAAAAGGCTATAGCCATCTTACAATTTCATATCAGAAGGTAAACAACTTATCAAGCTCAGCAAAAGGAATCAAACAAATATAGTTTCAGTAGTCATCATAACAGGATAGCAATAATCTGAGAGAGAGACAGACTTTGCTTCCTTTGAAGAAAACAGAAGTGCAAAGAATATTCTTTTTCAAACCCCCTTCCTTTATGACGTCTGTTTCATAAGTATAGGGTGAGAAAAAATGAAATAACGTGTAAATTTCACCTGAGAAACTCCACCTCTGTCTTACCCCGCAAACATAGTCTTGACCATCAAGAGTTTCTCCCAAGAATGGGGAAAGCGAAATGGGTGCAAAAAAGATGCAAGCAAGCAATGCCATTTTCCTACTTTTATTTACCCTTCACTTCACATAATTTGAGGAAAATACAACAACCAACCAACAATTTATGAGTTAAAAATGTTCATTTAACAACCAACCTCTTTATATCTCCATAAAACAACCAACATTTTATAAGTCAAAATTCCTCATTTAAGCCAATTTAAACATAAGTGAACCACAATAAACTTGCCTGATATGCTTTCATGGACTGATCAGCAGCCTCTTTCCGTCTCTCACGATTTGACGCATCGCTAGATCCTGTAGAATATCACGACGATAATAATCCGCTTTCCTGCAACCAAACAAAACCAAAAAAAAAAACTTCAGAAAAACCACCAATAATCAATCAAACAAAAGAAACCCAACAAAGATACCAACATTTTATAATAAAACACAGTAGACTCTCTTTCCACGCAACAAGGAATGAGATGCTCATTGATCACACTCATAATATCTTTACAAATATCGGACAACTCCAGTTCCACCTTCTGCCTGTACGGTTTGATTTGCTTAACACACTGCTCATTCCCTTTGGTCTCTTCCTTTTGCTCAATCGAAGATAAGACCCTCCACGATGCTCTTCGAGCACCGATCACGTTTTTGTACCCAACTGAGAGCAGGTTTCGTTCCTCTACGGTTAGTTCCACATCACGCTCCGCTACTTTTTTCATAGCACCTACCATATCTGTGACACAAAAAAAAAAATCCATAGTTTCAAATGTTAAAGTCACAAAAAGAAAAAAGAACTAAAGTTTAAGGCTTTATTTGGTTAGATCGGACCTTCGAAGCGTTCGGCTTGTTCAGAGAGCTTGGCAATGAAAACAAGGTTTTCACGTTCTTTGGAGAAATCCATGACTGAGTGAAAGAAATTTTTTTTACAAGAAGTAGAAAAAGAACGAGAACTGAGAAGCGAGGTAGAAGATGGTTGTTTTTCTTTAGGGAGGGGGGGTTGGCTGGGGAGGACCAACTAAGATGGGCAAAAATGGAGGAAGCGGGGACAAGACAGGACTGACCGGCTTGATTTAGAATATGAATGACCCACGCGATATTTGGGGAGTGGTTTAGGCTCTTCATTAAATTAGACGATGTTACGAGGTCGTTTTAGGGAGTTTGGGCCGTAATAGTTTGTTTATGCGAGTGGTGTTTTTATGAAGTTTGCAAGAAAAAACAAATGATGGCTACATGTCAGTATTTAGGTGGGCTATCGCTCCTAAATTTGTAAAATTAGATAGAATTTAAAATAAATAAAATTTTTAATATTTTTAATAAAAAATTATTTTTAGTTTTTTTATATTTTTAAACCACTATCATACTTAAAACTCAAATTTCACCGCTAAGTATAAATAAAAAAAATTAATGTTTTTAATAAGATTGAGATTCAGTTACAAGTATATATATATATATATTATATTTTTTTTTTTTAATTTTTGTCCAATTTACGGATACTAATTTTCAAGTGTTTTATACATATACTGAAACTCGAAAGATAGTTAAGGATAAAAGCTAATTTAGTACTCATATTGAAGATTGAACAAGAAAAATCATAAAAGCTTTTTCCTCATTAAAAAAAGAGAGAGTAAATTTCATTCAAATTCTTAAATTTTAAGCATAATTTAACACAAATTTATTAATTTAAAAAATGAATACTCCATCTCAAATTTTTTAATTAATAAAATAAAAAATTTTGCTGTCAAGTTATCTCTTAATTATTATGTTAATATGTTCATTAAAAGACTTTTCTAATCTTGAAAAATCAATATCTTAAAATACTCACATAAAACAATAATTTATAATAATAATTTTTTTATTTTTCTTAAAATATATTAATAATATATAAAAAATTTTAGCTGCAATATCTAAAAACAAAATTTATAATTATAAATATCCTAATATATAAATATGTATAATAAAATGAATATTTAAACATGTAATAATTTTTTGACATGGAACAAATTCAAAAAAAAAAAAAAAAGAACATATAGCATATAATAAGAAAAAATGTTTGGTTGAAAAAAAAAGAAAAGATTTGATTAAAATTGTTACATGCTTCATATATTCTTTTTATTTTTCATATATTTAAATATTATCATATTTATAATTGTAAGTTGTTTTTATATACTGCATTTAAAAAATTTGTTCACATTATTAATATAATTTATGTATCTTGAGAAAAAATAAAAATAAATTGTTATCTTAAAATATTATATTATGTGAGTATTTGAGGATATCAATTTTTTAGGGGTAAAATAATCTTTTAATGAGATTATTAACAAAATAATTAAGAGATAACTGATAAAAAGATCTTCTTGTCTTATTAATTAAAAAGTTTGGAGTAAAATGTTTATTTTTTGAACTAATTGATTTAAATTGAATTATGCTTAAAATTTAAGGATTTGGATGGAATTATCCAAAAAAAAAAAAAAGAAAATGAAATTGAAATTGTTGAGCAACAATAGCACTTGCAAAGCGGAAGTGGACCTAAACAAATACTAGCCGAAGGTACAAAGAAATTTTTCAACACACAAAATTCATACAATTCTTAGAAGGGAATTAGAACCCCAAAAAGAAATTGAATAATAAGGAAAAAAAATTACGCACATGCTTAAAATGCCATTATTAGTTTATTTACACACATATATATATAGCTCACATTATGGAGCAAGCATGAGGATTTTCATCGCTGAAGATAGAGCTGGCTTGTACATCAACAAGAGTTGAATAAGGCGGTAGCTGATAGTAACCATGATCATGACCATCATAGCCATGCTTGTAGTAGTTGTAGGATGATGAACGTCCAGTTGCATGGTAATTAATCGTAGGTTGGCTTTGATAGTATTCGTAGTAAAATTGATTCTCAGGGTTATAGGGATATGGCCACAGCTCTGCTCTTCTCCCTGTTTTCCTCACTGTTTTCAGGACCTTCTTCTGGTCTGACGCTGCCCAACCCATTACTGTTACCTTTTGCATGTCCATGTCTATGTCTACACTGTCTATTCCTGAAAGTAAATACCCATATAAAGCCATTACCGTTATCATTTAAGGCTTCAGAAGTTTGCAGACTATAATCAGTTTAATACTAACAACTCTGTTTAAGAAAATTGAAGAAAGAAAACGTGAACCCCCCCCCCCCCCCAATGCATGAAAGTTGAACATACCCTTGAGTTTTCCAAGAGCTTTCTTTATCTTGGAGGCGCAGCCTTCGCAGTCCATGTTTACTCTCATCTCTACCATCTGCAGAGAAAAAAAAAATCATGTTATACTAGCTAAAAGATAGCATCACTCAATATTATTGGCATGCCTTTATTTCCTAAAAAAAAAAGGTCAAAAGAATTTTTTAAAAAAATGTATTGTTCTGATAATCTCTATACGATGAATCATCAGATATGAAACCATCAAATTATCAAAGGATCGAAATCTAAAATGATGGCAGTTATAGTATATAAAGAATGGTGCCACAGAGAGCGGGAGGGAGAGTTGTAACTAACCGTCATTTTAATTTGGGTGGTTTAGAAATCTTGTCTTTGGAATTGAAGTTGAGAGATAGATGAGAATTGAGAACCATGGTACTTATATATATATATATATATATATATATATATGAGATGGGAAGGTCGGTTAAGCGAGAATATATAATATGTCAAATAGACAATAGTCCCCACGGACTTTTTCTTATTCTCTTTTCTTCAAGTTGCTTCTTGGCGACAAAGCTTCCGAAAAGATTCCAGGAAAAAGCCTAGCAGCTGCTTTTAGAAATTAAAAAGGAGCTGATATTTCGCAAACCTAAGGAAGGAATTAATATAGTCATGCAGCCACATCAGCATGTGGGAAAATATCCTCCGCGTAGATTGTTGCTTTAATCATTTCAAATCTAACAAGTAAACAGACCGAGTTAAGTAATGATCAATTTGTTGGTAAAGACAGTTGTACATTGAGAAGAACATCAACATTTAACAATCAGGAAATGTAAATTCAAGCTGGAAGCCCTTCATATTGTTACTTAATGGTGTAAATCAGATATACTTAAGGATACAACTTGTTGCTTATAAGGCTGCATGTAAGTTTTGTTAAATTAATCATTGTTATACGTGTGGGAGAAGAACAAGCTAACAACTCAAACGTACGTCAATTTGTCTGATAAAAGTGGAAGGTGTTTGAGTAATTTACAAATGACATCGACATTGATTCACCAAATGTCAGCGCCCGCTTTGGTTAATAGCAATTTCGAGGAAGTTCCTATAATTGATTAAGGCCACAGGTAAGGTAACTTCTACGCCGCCACAAAAGTCGGCGTAGTGCATTTGGAAGTAGGTTGGTGTTGAATGAATACATTAATTCTTAATTGATCTACGAATTACTCTAGATTAATTATTGAAAATTATTTTAAAAAATTTAATTTTAATTAATTCAATTTAAAAATCAAATTAATTAAATTTTAATCTAAATAAAATAAAACTTATATATAAAACTGAAATTATATAAAATTGTTTATTTTATTACAAGTTATTTTAAAATTTTTAATTTAATATTGATATTTTAATATTTTTATTGAATGATTTTATTTAATTTATTTTAAATATAAAAAATTAAAAATATAATTTAACTTAATAAATTTTATTATTTAATTAATAAAAAATTAATTGAATTAATTAAATTAATATCAGTTAATTAATTTATAAAATTAAAAAATTTATTTCAATTAACAAAAATAAAATAATTTAATTTAATTTAATTTTAAATATTTTGATTTTAAATTAACCAAACTGATCAAATGAACATCCTTATTTGGAATGGATAAGTTTTGGGGCCAAATCGTTGGAAAAAGAAGGTGATGAGTATATGCTGAAATCTGATCTCTTGTGATGAAGATGCAGCTGGGGTCGTTTTCAAATGCAAAATAGAACTCCCTAATTTACATTGATCATTGACTTTCAGCAAAACAGTCAAAAAGGAGATGATATTCTCAAATGATTACTACAAAAGAAAGAGAAACTTGCATGACCTGAATGAGCACTTCAGACCAATTTAACTAATACCCGATGCTGCGGGGAAAAAAACTCACTTTCAATACTGAAAACATCACAGAAATTTGCTTCTTTTTACGATGCATATCTTTCGTTTATATAGAATGTACTTTTCCATGTGGAATCAAACTGTGGCTCCGTTTCCCCTGGAATGTACAATCTTCAATGAATCTGATCATAATTGAAGCATACAGACACTGCTAAATAGAATAATAAGAAAACTAATTGGTTACACCGTATACGGCGTTCCATCATGATAGTGAGTTGGTTTTGTCTCCGAATGAAAATCTGGGCAACAAAAACAATTAAATAAAAATCACCATTCACGTAGATGTCATCTGAACTTTAGGCATATCTAGAAAGTATGTGCAATTCTGGAAGTTGTACGAGACAAGGGAATATGTTAAGCTTATATAACTCGAGTTACATGGAGCCTCTTTTTCAGAGCTTCTAATATTGTTTTATTTGCAACTTCGACCTGCCTGTTGAACTAAGGGTGGACAACTGATGTGAACCTGAAGTTGATGTGAAAATTTTGAGCACCATTCCCTGAACTTTGAATTATTTGTCATTGTCCGTTATTATAGACCAAGGTAATTCAAATCTACAGACTATGTTTTTTCACATGAACTTCTTGACTTGTGCTTTCATGGTGGTGGTTAAACTTCAGCTACCAACCATTTTGTAAAGTAATCTATTGCCACTAAGATGAATCTCTTTTGACCCATGGTTGGGGTGAATAGTTCAAGGACATCTATTTCCCATTGCATGAATGGCCACGAGCTAATGATAGGAGTGAGCTCGATGAGAAGAAATGTTGCATGTGGGTAAATATTTGACACATGTTGCATTTCTTCACCAGTTCGATCGTATCCTTCCTAATGATAGGCCAGTAATAGGCTTGTCTTAACACTTTATAAGTCAAAGACCAAGGTCTAAGGTAACTTCTATATATTCCTTCGTAGATTTCTCGCAGGACATATTCTGCCTCTTCTTCATTAATGCATCTTAAGTAAGATAGGCTAAAAGATCTTTTATATAATTTTTTGTCGATCATTGTTTACTGAGGGTCTTTTTCATTAATGCCTTAGCCTGGACTATTTCATCGGGTAACACTCTTGTGGTTAGGTATGCTTTAATTGGCATTATCCAAGTTTCTTTCTCTGTGACATGTCTCATGAACTTGTTCTTAGTGCTTTTATACGCTAGTTTTTCTACTAAAACTTGGTCTGAACTTTTCGTTGCTATTCTTGAAACCAATTTAGACTAGGAGTCTGCTATTGAATTTTCTAACCTTGGTATCTTTTTTACCTCGATTTTCTTGAAGCCATCTACCAAGGTTAGTGCTTGTCAAGATACTTTCGAATTTTATCTAACCAATATTTTAATGGTAGTCTATACTCCACTATTTTAGTGCTGAGTCTAGGCATTTCTTGGTAAAACCAGGTAAATACATCCACGAACTCCCAGAGTAAATTTTCTAATCGCTACCGATCAACTGCTGAAAGTGAAGTATCAATCTTGACTTTTTCTTGTTCTCGGCATCACCCAAATTGATTAATTCAACAATTTCTTGATGAGGTTCAATGGTTTTATTTTCTTACTCAATTAGCCTAATTAAATTCGGAGACAAAATATATTCTTCAGAATCTTTTTCAGTATCAAGTTCATCGATATTAATTGAGTTTTCAAAGTTAAATCTTGGATCATTGTTATGATTACCCTCACATTCCTAAAAATTAATAGAATAGGAAGTATTGGTAAGAAATTTTGATAGGGTGATGAATGGAATAGAAGAAATGAACAAAATACATACTTCTATTTTTATTGACATAATGAAAAATAAAAAGCCCAAGCATAAGAGTTCATCCTAATGCTTTTGAACATAAGCACTTAAGAGATGTGATTACATTGAAGAAAAATTGAAAACAATAGGCATTTGAATGACCCTCCAATTCTGTAATTCATATCATGGCAGGCAGAGGTAAACCAAAGTTTTCTCATTTTGACTTTCATTATCCATCATGGGAATGGATAACTTAGCAAAAGCTTCCTCTCACTTTGGTTTTTTTTTTGTGTTCTCTTTAGCTCCTTGATGCATGTATCATCTAGGAATGAAAGTTTCATCTAATTGAAGAAATATCATCGACCCATTTTGTACCCTTCTATCGTTATTTTGTAATTTTTCCATCTCATAACCCAACATTGACCTGTAGCTGTGATCTTTTATCTTAGAAAGCTCCCTTATCCCATAAAGACTTTTACCTAAGCAAAGCTTAATACTCCAACCCTTGTTAATCATTTGATTGATCACAATTCGACTAAATTTAAGTCATTCACCCATTGCATTAATAGGTTCAAAAGATCTGTAAGAGCATTCCAATGATTCTTCTATCACTTCCACATATGAGTCATTTATGGGTTGGATCACCAATAGATCTTTTTTTTTAGCCATAATCACCAGTTGTCCTTTTACATTGAATTTAATCTTTTGATACAATGAGAAAGGGATGGCGTTTGTCTTGTGGATCCAGGGTCTTTCCAATAAGTAGCTATATGATGGAAAGATATCCATGACCTAAAATTTTCTGTTGCGACACATGCCCGATCTATATAGGTAACTCAACATCCCCCAAGACTTCTTGTCTAGTTTTATCAAATGCTCGAACCATCATTTGACTATTTTGGATATGTGACATATCAAAGGACAGTTTGACTAGAGTGGACATAGGCATGATATTAATAGTTGATCTATTATCAATAAGGACCTTAGCTACTATGTGACCTTTACATTTGACAGTGATGTGCAATGTCTTGGTGCGCTTTCTACCTTCAAGTGGAATCTTATTATCACTGAAAGATATGTGATATGGCACCACTAGATTCTCAATCAAATGATTCACATACTTTATAGATACATTATGAGCCATATAAGCCTGATTTAATACCTTCAACAAGGCGTTACGATGTAGTTCAGAGTTCAAAAAAAGTGATAATAGAGAAATTTTGGCTGGCATCTTATTCAATTATTCCACTACAAAGTATTCGATGTGCTTGACTAGCTTCAAAAACTCATAATTTATTTTTTCAGGCACAGACTTTGAGGCATCTTTCTCTAGAGTTTTTTATTCCATTTGTTTCTCTTTTTCTTTTCTTTTTTTAAAGTTGTCGAAGTGTAACATTTCTCACTTTTAGCTATGCCTTCTACTCTTGTTATATTAGTAGTTTTAGCTTTCGGCCTTTGCTGCACCTGAGGCATCACTTCACATTCATATCTCCAAGGCACCATTCTGTTATTTTTATAAAGAAATGAGCCTGAAACTTTGAGAGCTACTAGTTCGAGAACAAACTTATTTCCAATTGATTGTGACTTTTACTTACAGCTTATAATGATAGGTTTTGGCACCCACTGTCTGTTATAGCCACCCTAATAACTTTTGAGGCTCTTGACTTTTCAATAACTCTATTTGGCAAAAGTCCATCAGCTTTTAAACTTCATCATAAAATTATTTATAGATATCAATTGAATATTTTGGTGCCCTACCATGATACTTATATCTTTGATTTGGGATACATTTTC